GGTTTCGGAATCGGAACAACTGAAAGGAAAAAAAGTGTGAGACACAGCTCTGGAGCGTCTCAGTTGATTCACAAAACTACCTAACGGCCCGGATTCTCATAACTCTGCGTGTGTTTCGCGCTGGATGACGGCCGTGCTGAGCGGTGCAGGTACAAATAAGTAACATAGTAGAAGAGAAATATTTTCATTTTCATTTCATTTTAAACCACAAACTACTGAGTATGTTTTGGACATTATTTAACCGTGTCAAAGACAAACAAAATTTTTAGAATAACAACATTTCTTGCTCCAAGTTTTAGGGGTGCTGAGCTCCTTTTTAGGGGTGCTGAAGCACCCCTAAAAAGGGGCTAGCCTCGCCCATGTGCAGAAGCAACTGTATCTTTTCACAATCCATTCAATGACTTGCAAACTCGCAAGGAATCAAAAAGACTGCAAATAATAAAATATGATTCGAGAACCACAAACAAGAACAATGTCACTTAACGAAAAAAAAAAAGATCAACAAACCCATTACAATAATCCATTGGAACAGAAGCTGTTACTCTATTTCAGAACGCAGATTTGCGTTCAATATAGCCTAAAGGTCAGTTTATGTTCCGCTCTCCAAAAGGCTGCTAATATAGTGATAACATCTTTATGTCTCTGGTACTATGTTTACCGCAGCTAAATTGCTGGTGAAACAATTTCAGTTTATGTAAGGAAGAGAAACATCCCGCTTCCCCCGCACGAGAGACCCGCAGCAAAAAGCAATTCCGGACTTTATCGCGTCAAAGTTAACAGAAATGACCAGAAAACCCACATTTGACACGCCCGCTTCAGTTTCGACAACACATATGTAACTTTGTAACCAGTCGGTACTTTGAACTATCACTTTCAATCAAGACGCCACACTGTGTATAAGCTACAAATCTCCGCAGGCGGCGAATGTCCGTCGAGCTGGCTCAACCATTATTGCCTTAAAATACAAGCAGATTAAAGGAAAAGCACAGTTCCTACCTGAATGGATAGCTGCCGAAATGGTGAATAAAATGAGGAGAGTAGCGAGAGATCCGTTGCTCGTGTTCGCCATGTTGGACACCTGCTTCATTCTGAAGCTCGTGAGTGAGTTGAGCTTCACCTAGAGCAACGGGAGCTGCGCGTGATGAGATGCTGGGAAAGGGCGGGAACAAACACCCATTCAAAAGAACGTCAATTCATTTAATACAACCCGTATAGCCTACTGAACCGGCTCTCTTGATGTTATTGAATAGATTTTTTTAAAAACAAATTTGTTTGTTTATATAAAAACACCCTGTTGATCAGAAGAGCCTCTTAAGAGGCTTCTCCGAAAAAAAAGTA